AATTACACAGGAGCAAAAGTTTTTGCATACTATTAAAATGAAGTTGCTTCTAATCAGAACTAAATTGTGATAAATTAAGGTATTAATGTAAACCCCAGGGCAACTACTACTAAGAAGACAACTAAAAAAATATGTAGTAAGAGAAATGATAAGATAATTAAAATGGTAAACTAAGTTTTACTGAACACAAGGGAAGACAGTATGGAGAAATTGATGAACAAAAAAAGATAAGACATATGAAACACAATAGCAAAAAAAAAGAAAGAGAGAAATAGGGAATATAATGAGCAACATCTTGGTAATGAACTTTAGATGAAATGGACAAATTCTTAGAAAAACACAAACTGTCCAAAATGACTCAGCGTAAATAGACAAGACCAGATGTGATGGTGAGGGGTAATACAACACTCCTTGATGCTTGCCGGGCCATATGGGAAGGTCCCAGTTTTGTATACTGAGATCTCCTGTGTGTGCCAGGTGCACATACGCCCTGGCTAGTTGAGGCTGAGGGTAGTATCATGGTGTAAAGGCCCTGTGAGCAAACATTTCCCTTCCTCTTCCTTCTTCCCTTTCTCATGGAAAAAACTAATAATTTTTTTAAAAAAAAAGAATAATTAATTTGAATAAGCCCATAACAAATGGTAAATTTCTTTTTCCTTTTTCTTTTTTTAATTACTTTTTTTTTTGGAGAGGCTTTTGCTATAGGGTGCGTGCACCCGCCAGAAAGACAGAGAGACAGCAAGCGAGAAATCACCCCCCCAGGGGGAATGGCCACACTGCATCCCCTTCTCCTCCATTCTCCTCTCGGGATCTTGGGCACGCACGCACACATGCCCGGCGTGAGTTTTAAGCGACTGCGTCCGGGACGCGAACTGCGGTCGACTACATGGGAGTCCAGTGACATAGCCATTACGCTAACTGCTGGTCCGTCCCGGTAAATTTCAATTAATGTTTTTTAAAACTACCCATAGAAAAAAAGCCCAAGCATAGATGTCTTTATCCTAAATTCTACCAAACATTGAAAGATTAATATAAATTCTTAACAAACTTTTCCAAAATAGGAGAAACATTTTCCATTCCATTTTTTTCAGGTCAATTCTACCCTGATGCCAAAATTAGCCAAAGACAACACGAGAAAACTATAGACCAATATAGCTCATGAATATGGAAGCCAATATCCTTAGCAAAATACTAACAAATGAAATTCAGCAATATATAAAAAAGAATTATAGGGACCAGCAGATGGTGTCATGGTTACATCACTGGACTTCCACATGGCCGACTACATTTTGAGTCCTGGACTCAGCAGCTTCAAACTCACACTGGGCGCATATACATACATACTCAAAATCCTGAGAGGAGAATGGAAGAGAAGGGATTGCTGCGTAGCCACTTACCCAGCCCCCCAGCCCCAGAGTGATTTCTCACTTTCTGTCTCTCCAGAGAGCGCACATGTCCTATAGTAAAAATCTCTAAAAAAAAGAATTGTATACTAGTACCGAGCAGGATTTACACTAGGAATGCAAAGATGGCTTAACATCTGAAAGTCAATTAATGTCATATTAATTAATCATATCAATAGGACCAAAGCTCCCAAATGCCATGATCATCTTAATAGACACAGAAAAAACTTTGGCCAAAATTGAATACCCCTTCATGATAAAAATATTCCACAGAGTAGGAGTAGGCAGGAACTTCCTCAACATGATAAAGGGTATCTACAAAAAAAAAAAAAAAAAAAAAAAACATGGTTAACATCATACTAAAAAGACTAGAAGTCTCTGCCCCCTGCTATGGCCTGAATGTTTGTGCCTTGTGCCCCCCCAGCCCCAAGTTCTTAACTTCAAAATCCTCAGCGCAGTAGTATTAAAAGATGCGGCCTTTAAGAGATGATTAAGTCATGAGGAAAGAACCCTCGTGAATGAGATTAATGCCCTTATAGAAGAGGTCCAAGGGAGAGCCTCCCATTTACCGTGTGAGAATGTAGCCAGAAGGCACTAGCTAAGAAGCAGAGACTGAACCCTCAGCAGACACCAAATCTGCTGGTGCCTTGACCTAGGATTTCTGTCTTCCAGAACTGTGAGTGATTCATTTGTTTATAATATCCAGTCTATAATATATTTTGTTTTACCAGCTTGACTGGACTAAGACACCCCCTAGTATCTGAAATGATAAATATACTACTCTCAATATACTACTCTCAATATCACTTATATTTGATATTGTATTGGAGCTTCTACTCAGGGTGGTCAGGCAAGGGAATGAAATGTATTGAACTTTGAGAAGAAAAACAAATGTACCTCTACTTGTAGATATGTGATCTTTTGTACAGAAAACTCTAAGGAATCTACTAAAACGTTATTAGAGCAATAATAGCAAGAGTGCATGCTCCTATCATGTTCAGTATTTAAAAATCAATCATGTTTCTATACATTTGCAATGAATAATCCAAAAATAATAGGAAATCCGTTTACAGTAGCTTTAAAAAATGCATAGGACGGATGGTACCAGATGGTGGTACAGTGGTAGCAATGCTCTGTAATGTGGGATCCACATGCGAAGGTCCCAGTTTCACTTCACAAGACTTTCATGTACCTTCCAGGCACAAGTGGCCATGATCTGAGCAGTCTTAGGCTAGAATACTTCATGGCATGAAGAAGGGGTCACTCTCTTTGTCTCTCTCATGGAAGAAATATATGTATATTTTAATTGTATTAAAATACTGAGCCTATTTAATACATATTTTCTCTTTTTTTGTTCGTTTGGCACATATGGTCACTCTACAGAGACAGAGAGAAAAAGACACACACACACAGAGGGTAAGTGAGTAATTACCTCCCAGGGAGGATGGCCATGCTCCACTGTCTTCTCTTCCATTCTCTCAGGATTTTTGGAATGCATGCACACATGCCTGGCATGTTTCTCAAGCCACACGGTCTGGGACTTCAGCAGCACAGGCAGTTATGTGGGAGCCAACCACCCCAACCTCTGTGCCACCTGCTGGCCCCACATGTATATTTTTTACTCCCCGCCATTTCCCAATCTGACCACCACTATTACTTTGTCCTATCATAACATTCCATACATACTTAAAACCAAGCAAAGGGTGGAGTTCCATCTTTAAAAACCAAACAGGCATTTTGGACAACACATTCTTGGCAATGGAACCTGGGCAACATTTATCAAACACAGTAGGGGAAGTTCTCACTCTGAATTATAAAGAGGACTGCTAGATATCAACGGTTACAGAAATGAAGTAAGATGAAAATTTTTAACAAACTGTTTATTTTCTTTTTTAGCGAGATTTTTGCTATAGGCTACATATGCTCACTGGAAAGACAGTGAGAAATCACCCCTAGGGGGACGGCCATGCAGCGATCCCTTCTCCTCCATTCTCCTATCAGGATCTTGCACAACTAGGTCCAGGACTCAAACCATGGTCGGCTGCGTTTGAGTCCAGCGACATAACCATTATGCCATCTGCTAGTCCCTAAACTATTTTCTTAAAGAGATTTCCTCCACTGCCAGAGATCATGCTTGAATAGCTTTTGGTCAGTTATCAAAAGCAAATATTCACATAAGTGGTGAACTTGGCTTCCACTTTGGGAGGAGAACCACCTTTTTCTCTACTTGCTTGCATTTTTCCTTTAAAGTCTTTTACAGAATTAAAAATAGGGAATGCACATGAATTTGCATGTCACTCTTGCTCAAGGGTTATGTTCATCTCTGTGTCATTCTAATTTTAATAAATGTGCTGCTAAAGTAAGCACAAAAAATAAATTTTTAAAAATACTTAAATATTAAAAAACAAATCTGACCAAACCGCAAAATTGGCACACTGAAAACCATAAAACATTGCTGAAAGAAATAAGATACAGATGAATTGAAAAGATTCCATTGTACATGGATTAGAAGACTTAACATTGTTAAGATGACAGTATTCTCCAAACTGATCTACAGTTTTGGTAATGGAATCCTTATCAGAATGCCAGCTGACTTTTTGTAGAAATTGAGAAGCTGATTCTAAAATTCATATGGAATTTCAAGGACTCAGAATAGGTAAAATAATCTTGAAAATAAACTAAGCAGCGGAACTCACATATCTTAGTTTTAAAACTTACTGTAACACTACTATCTATAATAAAGACAGTTTGGTACTTTTATAAGGACAGACATAGACTAATGGAATAGAATTGAAAGCCTAGAAGTAAATCTGTACCTCTGTAGCCAACAGGTTTACAATGTGTGCCAAGACCATTCAATGGGGGGCCCAGGGGCGGGAGGGAGAATGGTCTCTTCAACAAATTGTAGAAACAACTGAATAGCCATATGAAGAAGAATTCATTTTGACCTTTACCTAATAATGTATACAAAAATTCACTCAGAATGGATCAAAATCCTAAATGTAAGAGCTAGATCCATAAAACTCTAAGAAAATACGTGAGTAAATCTTTATGACCTTGGATTTGGTGAAGGATTCTTAGATAAGATACCAAAAGCAACAACAACAACAAAAAAATAGAAAACAGATAAATTGGAATATTCATCAAAATTAAAATTTTTGTTTCTAAAAGGACACCATCAAAACAATGAAAAGTCAGTCCACAGAAAGGGAGAAACTATTGGGTCATCAGGATAGTCATGACGTAGTTTTGCATAGAAAAACAGGAAAATACATCATGACTTTCCTGATGATCTAATATTTTAATTCATGTATCTAGTAAGTGAATTGTAACTAGACTATAGAAAGAACTCCTCAACCCAATAATAAAAAGAAAAATAATCCAACCAAAAAATGAAAAAGATTCTCAATACACATCTTACCAAGGAAGATATACAACTATCCAATAGCACAGAAAAGAGGCCCATGTCATTAAATCATCAGGGAAATGAGTTCACAACCATATGAGATACCACTTCACACTTACTGCTAAGATAGCTATGATAATAAGAATAACATAAAAAGGAAGGAAAATAGCATTGGTGAGGATGTGAATAAATAGAAATACTTATAAACTGCTGCTGGAAATAAAATGGTACGGTCCGTTTGGAAAACAGTCTGACAGTTGATCAAATGATTAGAGTTTCCATATTTCTCAGCAATTCCACTACTACGTATACATCTAAGAGAAATGAAAATGTGTCTACACAAAAACTTGTGCATGAATCCACATAGTAGAATTATTCATAATAGTCACAAAGTATAGATAAGAAGCCATGGGCCTTCAGGACAAGGTTCCACATGGCTACAGTGAACTAGATTTTTAAGGGAATGAAGATTTTCTACTAATAATTCAGCCTCCAACAAATGAGCTAGCGGTAGGGAGCCCCCCCTCTGCACCCCCAGTCTTCTCTCTCTGTCTCAGTTCCTGTCTCTCCCTGCTTCTGTCTTCCCCCCCTTTTTTTTTTTTTTGGTAATATTTCCTGTTTACACTCTTTTGTCTGAAGATTTATCCTTCCCTGCCACCTCTTTTGGCTTTTTCTCCCTTTTTCAGGAAG